ATGTCGTAGAACATAACAACATGAAAAGTGTCGTGGGACGTGATAACGTAAAAAATATAACTGCGGTTAATAGAAATTCTGCAACTCCAGAACACGGGAATTTTCATGTAATCACATCTACATTTCAACTCACTAACGAAATGAAAGGTGTCAATCAGACTAAAAGTGAATCGGAGGTAGGAAAAACTGTACCAAAAGAATTCATTGGATATGCTGGCGACGTTGGACCACCGGGATCACCTGGGCCGCCAGGACCTCAAGGACCTCAAGGAGATCCTGGCCCATCTGGAGAAGAAGGACTTATAGGGGATCCCGGTCCTCCTGGTGACTACTCTATATCACTATCGCACGGTATGCTTTGCGTTATTTACATTTAAATTTTATAAAAGAGAAAAAAGCAATTTTACTTCCATCAGTTTATAGGTTGTTTGATCACATTTAAAAACAAATAACCAAAGCGTTGAATAATTCAAAATTATAGCGACGTTATCGAAGAATTTCTTATGTTTAATTTTTCAGGTTTATTTACAGTTGTGGTACCACTTTTCATTTTTACTTATTTCAATGGAATTCCAACACTTATAATTGCATTGAAATGATTATTCATTTAAAGTATTTGATTATAATTTAAAATTATCAATTTTTTTTGCTGAATATGTTTTGTACAGAAGCATTTCACTATTCTTTCTTCTATTGTTTTCAATATAAAATAAGAATTAGTATAAAAAGTATGCGTCTAAAATGGCAATACAAATAGACGATATGTTGGAGAGAGAAGGAGAAAGGTAGAGAGAGAAGAGCAAAGAATGATTGCTGGGTTATGAATCGCTTTAGTGCAAGAGAGGTTGAATAGCCTTAAAAAAACTTTCTAGCACACCTGTCGCATATATGGTAAACTTATTACCGTTCTTCTTGCATCATTGAATTATGCTATTTAACTAGTGAGAATTACTCAGTGGAAAATAACTAATGAGAATTATTCAGAATAGTTGTGAAGCCAAAATGCAGAACCTGATTTGTTAAATTTTACAGGTTAATACCACTGCTTTAGGAAGTATGCATCACTTTTAAATTAATTCGTACAGTAAAAATATTGCAAGAATGATGCAAGTCCTGGATCAAGACTTGAAAAGGACTGAGAAGCTTGAATAGTTACCGTGCGGGTACACGTTCGATGTAACGAATGACACTAATGAAGTAACACTAAATGTTTTTAATTTGTGATGATCAGACGGAAATTAAAAAGTTTTTGTTTTATATTTATTCATTAATTAATAATTATTTTGGTATTATGTTTTTTTGAGCAACAGCTTTTAATAACTATCTGAAGAAATTTTAAATTTCAGAATTAGAAACCTTTTAGGCGCAAAAAGTTTAATGAAATTCCTTTTTGAGGAAGCGCTTAATGTGACACAGTTGAATTGTAGTGAAAATTTAATATTTGATGGAGAATTTTATTTCTTCTTAATATCACAATACAATTACCAGAAATTACCAAGAATTAAACTAATCACTTGGTCGTTTTTCTTTATCGCTCATCTGAGAGAATAATTTTGGAGTGTTTGTTGGAGTGCAGGTGAAAACAATGTTTTGTTTTAGTGCAATAAGTTGCACTGCAACACTTCCTGTTGGGCTCAGTTCGGTGAGGAACTATTTGTAGTAAAATAGGTAATTGGTCATTTGATAAATGAAAATAATGGTGAACAAAGAGATCATTTGATGAAGAAACTAATGGTCATCTAATTGTGAATATATGAGATAAATGATGATTATACGGCATAGAATATAAGAATACATAGAATATAAGAAAAATACTTTGTTTATGTAAATATATTTATATCATAAAATTATTTCGATTTTCGACAAAAGAAATTCTTTTATGATTTATGCTTTAATGCTTTAGTGGCTATATTAAGATTTGCATGGTATACAAAAGATCTTTAGCAGAATTTGAACCGACAAATTTGAAGTCGAATCTTTCCATGAAGTTAAAAATAAATAAAGCTAGCAGGTAGCTGATTGAGTCTGATGGGAAGACAAAATAGAACGAGAAAACTAGAGAAGTAAATTTAAATATCCAAATGATATTTCAGCGATCATTACGACCTATTGTGCCTTTTATTTCTATATTGATGAAGTTTCGTAATAAAAAGAAGAAGTTATAAGCGATGGACATAGAAATAAATGTCAACGATAATATCATGAAATTTCTGCTCTCTTTGGCTGTCATTAGCTCATTCTTTACAATTTCTGAAATTTTTGCGTAAAAGATATTTATATAATTATTTTGCATATCTTGCAAAAATCAGTGATAAAATAGTAAGGTTGTTAACCGTATCTATCAGTGCATGTTTGATGTTAGCAATGACATTAGTGAAGTAGCATTAAATCGATCAGATGGAGAAACAAATTTTTAATGCATTGAAAAATCAAACTGAAGTCATTTGTTTTTTGAAACAAAAAGAAACATTTTTGGATAGCAATTACAGTGGTAAAATAAAAGTTTCGTGTATCGATTATCTTGAAGTATTGTCATGATTATATGAATTGTAAGGATCATCGAAATTATGAATAAATAAAATCAATTACCTTATCCGGGTTTGCCTTTTGGACCTCGAGGTCCTTTTTCACCACGTTCTCCCATTATTCCTGGAGGACCTTTGGGCCCAACAGCACCTGGCTCACCTCGCGGTCCCGGATCACCACGTGGACCTTTAGGACCTCTGACATACATAGTAGAACATAAAACCTTGAAAATTCATTTTGCACAATGATATACACATGTATATATAAAGAAAGAGAGAGAAGTTTGTTGAAGAATTTAATATTTACCACGTTGAATTAAAGAACAACATCCACTTAAGTCAATGATTTTAAGACAGCAAAGTAAGGTTTTATTTTTGCTGTGTGATCGATAAATTTCCCTACGTCCGTCGCCTGATTAAACATCATTAATATAATTATTCGAATAACTCTTTAATAATTATTTAAGAAGAAATTCAGGTTACTTTTTTTTGTTAGTAAGAAAATTTTAATTAGACTTACAAAAGAAATAATAAGGAAATATATGATTACAATATTTTTCATCTTCTCGCTTCTAACTGGAATTAAAACACTTTAATGTAATGCAAGTAATGATTTCCTTTAAAATCGATTATGGAAAATGATGAAGAGTACACTATTATTTGAATGATATTAATTAATTAATGAAATGATAATCAAATCTAATAAATGATCTAAGGAAAACGCAAAGATCTAGCCCTGAATTTTCTCTAATTCACATTACCTTATCCAACTTCATCTATCAGCATTTCCAAGCATTTGAAAAAGAAAACATGACGCAAATAATGAATTAGTATTCAAATGAAATGAAACTAACTTCTCAGTTCCACCGATTCAATTGATAATTAAAAATCTAGTGAATTAATGTCCTCTTTTAAACTTGTCGTTTATTCATACAAATATGTATCGGAAATTTTGCATATTTTATATTCATTTTGTTTATAATAAATTGAATTTGATAGTGCCGAATATTGTTGACAAATGAATGTATCTGAATGTATTGCTTTATTTTCAAAGTCTTCAAATTGAAAATTATTTATATGTATAGCTAGAAGTGTTTTCGTCGATTTCTTATTTCTTTTAGAATTAACAATTTATTTACTCAAATAATTTCTTTTCCCTCTCTCCATTTTACTTCACTTTTTTTTTCATTTATGGGAGTATTGTTATTTTGTCGTAACAATTTGAAATTTAAAAATAATCAAATTTTAATTTCACATTTTATTTATTTCAGTTTCCGAATATTATTAATCTTTCATTTGTGATATTAGTCATAGCAGAAAGCAGAATTGAATTAAATTAATTGAATCTTAATTGAATAAAATTTTCCATTTAATTTTTGATTTCTCACTTCATTTTTGATTATTTCTCAAATTTTCATGTCAGCTTTTTTAACATTTGATAATAAACTTACTTTGATCAAATTACACTACAAGTATTTGAGCTTTCTAATTCACCATTTAGCAACAGGATCTTAATTGTAATATAAGCGTTCCACAAAATATCATCCACGAATATCTATCTATCGTCTACTGAATCAAAATTAGAATCTAAATCTTCCCACGATAGAATCACACCATAACTAACAATTGGAATCATTCAAAATCTGATCCCTCAAAACATTTTCTTCCCTATCCTTCAGTGCATCACAAATATTTCGATGCTATTGAATGTTGCTGAGGGCAACGACAATTCTCTGAAAAAGAACTTTTATTTCTTCAACTGTTTTTCTTCATTTTTGCCTATTATTTTCTAACATTATTTTCTTTCAATAATTTTGTTTAGTTCAATTTCTTCTTTTATATATAAAAATATGCTTTTTCTCAGATTTTTCTCTCTTTCTCTCTCTCTCTCTTTCACATTTCAATTAAAATTAATTTTCAATTAAAATGAAAATAATTTGAAATGACAGAATGATTGGGAAATTCTAATTCTTTAGTCAATTATATCAAATTTTTCATTTCATCTAATAAGAGAATCTTTTGCTATCGTTGAAATGAATAATACATTTACAAACTTTAATCTTCATATTCGTCAAATTAATTTAATAGTAAAATGAATGGAAAGAAAGGAAAGTAAAAATTGTACTCTGTTTGATTGTTTTCATCAGAGAATCGGAAATGATAAAGAGAATTGAGGAATTGTACTCTCTGTTGAATATTTTCAACAGACAGTAGGAAACGATGGAGATAAATGAGAAATTCCTTTGCAACAATTTTCAAAATTTTTCACTATTTCCTTTTTTTCTTAAAATCCGAATTTGCAAAAATTTCTGAATTTTTTGCAAAATAATATCTTTTTTTTCCCTTTTTCTCTGTAAATATTTTTTAAGTGACAGTTGTTTGGAAGAATTTTTGTCATTTTTCTCTCTCTCTCTCTCTCTCTCTCCAGTTTTGGTACACTTTTAGTTTTATTCATTTTCTGAACAAAAAAAGAATACATTCTAAAATGTATTCACATTTGTGAAATTGTTCAATGAACGTTAAAATTATTAAAGGTAAACAAAGAGAATTGATAGGAACATTTTGGATCTATTTTTAATCATAAACTTCCTACCTGTAATTAATATATGCTAAACTTTCCAATAACATCAAAATAATCTTTTCTTTTCCTTTTTTAAAGTAATCGCAATAATTATAGCAATTCTAGTTTCGACTTTTACTCTTGTTTTTTTGTTGATATTAATTGACATTCCAAGGCTGTACATAGTTTTATATCCATAGTAACGATATCTGGCACTTAGAAGAAAAGTGTTGTTATAATGGAGGCTTTGGTTATAATGGACGCTTCCTTCATATCCTTCGTTTTTCTTTTTGAATTTTCATTTTTTCTGGCAATGTTATAGCTTCTCATATTTTCGTAATACTGATGATGCTAATAACTTCTCGTATTTTAGTACTGAACGATTAAACGATCTTAGCATAAAAGGTAGTGTTGTACTGAGACGTTGCAAGGCACGTAATAAAAATCCGCTTGAATTCATCAATAAATCAGCCTATTTGTTTGCAAAAAATAACGTTGTTATTATTGTTATGCTGAATATTACACAAAAGCAAATTTAAATAGGAAAATTTCTAGTACTACCTATTTCATTAGGTTCATTACAATGATAGGTAATTAGACAATGAATGGATAATAGATTAGACTGTTATAATTTAAGACACCAAAATAGAAAATAAGAACCTCTTCTAAATATGTTACAACATGCTAGTGCTACACTATAGGTTTAGCAGAAAAATATTGGTTGGGCTTATACCATTTTAAAAGTAATATGATATTTAGCGAATTATTTTCATCCTCCTTAAACACTTCGATCGAAAAGGGTAAATGAATTTCATAGAGGGATAAAGGTCATCTAGAAAGCAGCAATTTGTAAAAACATCATAGGCATGTGGGGAATTTAAACTGTGATGATTGTGGAGAATTTTTAACTAAGGAAACGACGTTTAGATAGTTTGTGTTAATTTACGTAAACGATCCGTGATACGTGACATACCACATTTATGAATAGTAATTGGTTGTGAATGATTCACACAACAATGGATTGATTCATTCATTTGGAAAAGGGACACAATCCAATCATTCGAATGAAATCGATAAAATGAGAAAATATGTCACGACACACGTAGATCTCATCACGTTTGCTTATTGTTCTCGTATTATTTCATCGGATATTACGATAATCATGAATATCATCATGTCTGCTTATTTTTCTCGTATTATTTCATCGGATATTACGATAAAGATGAATCTCATCATGTCTGCTTGTTTTTGTCGTATTATTTCATCGGATAGTATGATAAACATGAATCTCATCATGTCTGCTTACTTCTCTCATAACAATTTGATCAAAGGATAATTTCTTATCATTCATACATTTCAATTCCTCCTGCAATATATTTACACAACTGATTAGATAGGCACTTCAATTAGTCAATAAGTATCTCCTGTCCATTGCATTAAATATATTTTTTCCTCTTTCTTCTCCTTAACCCTATCTAAATTTCTCTTTTTTTTTCTTCAAGTTGTAATTTTCTATCTCTTTTCCCCTCCCTCTATTTCCAGCCTATTTAAGTGTGTTCTTTCGCTTCATTCCAACTTCATCCAATCTTAATCATTTTAAAAACGTTGTTAATGTCTTTAAATAGGAATGAAACAATACAATAACTAAGTAGGAAAGGGACGATTGCTCAACTGATATTATATTGAATTGCACCGTAGTGAAAATATTTCATTCATTCGTAAGCTGTTTTCATTCCTGGAAATGTCGGAGGTGTCGCTTAGGTTTACTGTTTGTTATTACACTTATAATTATTGTTGCAGCAGAAACAATAAACGAAGATCGAAATTATAACCGATCGATTAGTGGTGGTAATGTCATCAGCACATCGAAAATGCCCTCTGAGTGGTTTGTTTGGCACTCCACCATCAATCAATTTTTTCTCGTCTTCTTCCGCTGACACTAACATATTTCTTGTTGCAAGTAATGCTGTTATTGATGATACTGCTACAGCTTGTGATCAATTTTCGCCAAAAGTTTTTAGCTCACAAGAATTACAACAATCATCTTCAACAACAGTGATTACGGAAGCTGAAGTAATGAATGATCAATTGGCACCATTTATGACTGATACTTTAAGTAAGTCTCTATCTCTCTTTTTTTTCTGGTATGTTTTAATAATTCGAAAATCAGATTTCTTTCGTTTTCATATTGCAACTTTTATCATTCATTTATTATCAGTTTGTGATGTTTGATGCGAGAAATGATAGAGCTTGAGTTGAACTGAGATACATCACTTATTTTGTATTTCAGAAAGATCTAGTTGCACTTTTCTAAGCCTTTAGAAAATTCTAGACACGAATAGTTAATTTTTTTTTGACTCACATAGCTAAAATTCTACTACGTGTTGTGTCGACCAGTTGATAAGCGAATTGTTAGTTTGAAGTGCTAAATTACACGATCATTCGTCCACGCACATACATACATTCGTTTATTAAACAATATCTTTGCGTCGTAAATTATTGTTGAGTTTATTGAATAAATTAATATTGAATTTGTTGAATAAATTAATGTTGAATTTGTGTTGCATGTTTTGTTTTTTCAGAAACTGCTGATTCTAACGTTCTTGACTCTGGTCCATTTCAAGTAGGATTCATGGAGGATTCCGATCACCACACAGTTTCACCACCTTTTGAAATCTCACATTATCCGATTGAAGTGAAAGAAAGTAAAGATGCAATTCATCGACAGCTCACAAATAGGTCTTTCTAGCTTTATATATTTTATTCGAAAATTGCTACTTACAGTTTTGATTATGAGCTCTTCCTCTCATTGTCTTCATTACTGAAATTCATTTTTTTCTTCACGAATATATGACGTATGGCGCTTTCCTTTTCCTAATTCCTAATTCCACTACTTTAAATTAGAAGCAGTGAAGATGATGGAAAAATTTGTTTTGTTTAACCGCTTGTTTCTTTTTTCCTTTTTATCTTTCTTCGAAATCTTAAATAAATATGTGTTAGAAGTAGGATGCTTCAAGTTTTTCTAGTAGTTAATGGATTTGTTGAATTCCAGATAAATAACTCGCTAATTTGACAAATTCAATGAACTGAACTTGAAATTGAATTTTATTTAACTTAGTTTTGCTTTTTTATAATTAGTTCCAATTTTTTATTTTTGGCTCTACTTCTTTTGCCTCTACTTAGTACCGAGTATTACCGCGATGAGAGGTACCTTCCTCGGTTTATATGATACGATCACATATTGCCAATTTCGCAACTTTCTAAATAAAGTGTATAAAATGTGTATCTGAGGCAGTACATTTGCTTGAAGCTGCTACAAGTGTGGTATGATGAGGATTTCTTTCTGCTCCAAATGAGCAGATGATATCAGTTAAAATTTATTTCTGATACAAAACAATATTTTTCTGAATGATCTCATCACACTGATCTTTTGGCATTGTATGATGACATTACAAAAATGCAGACCCAATTAGAATGTTAGTTTTAAAAACATATCGACCGAAGTTGAACAGTTGATTGGACAACCTATTTAGGGCCACTGCATTTCTTCGGTCTGATAAAAAATAAAAATTAACAAATGGAGCCTGCTATGTTTGTTTTTTATTAACCTTTTGCTTTCCGTTTTTTTTTTTTGCTTTAGCTTCATTTATGCCATATTGTGCAAATTGTTTCAGTACCACGGAAGGTATGAAGGTAATCATTGTTCATGCATTTGTCTCAGTAACAAGCTCACTCCTTGTTAACTAAATTTACAGGTATCGACATTCTGGAAAACGGCGTCGACATTCTCTGCAGTGAGTCATAATTTGTTCGTAATTTTTGTTTAATTAATATCGTCAGGAATAATGCAAAGAATGAATGCATTAAATTTTGATCTATTTATGTAACATTTCGACGAATTTAAAGTGTATGAAATAAAATCCAGTATTCTCTGTTTGTTCAGTGCAGTCCATATTACACTGAGTGTTACTAATGCATGCATATGTATAATAGTACAAGATGGTGTCCTCGTTTACAATCCTAGTCGTCGTTTAAATCGATCGTTGTTAATGCTATTAATTTTTAAGTAGATTTTTACCGCATCGCATGATTTTTATTTCAACCTGCTTGAAATGTTTAGAACATATGTTCATTATAATCAAATAATACAATTGGCAGAATATTAGTAATTAGTAATTCCAATTGAACCTCATTTTTTACACGTATTTTAAGTAGGTTTGTTCCAAACTAAAACGTGCTTGTGTTAAAATACTGATATGTTCGCAAATATTTAGGTAGAGTGCTTTACAGTTTTTGAAAGAATTATGCTTATGTGAATTATGCTTATTGTCTTATCGTTCAGCTAATCCGAATCAAGTTTCATCATTTGTCCATTACTTGGCAGATATCATGTATTTGCTTTTATGGTTTTCTACTTATTTATTCCAAAACTTACTCATAGTTATTAATGTTATTGCTAGACGCAACAGTGGTGCACAGTCACATGTTTTAAACCAAAGTTTTGTAATTCTATCATTGAAGCTTGGATTCAGGATTTTGAGTTAGTATAGTATTTTGTAAATGATTAACGGAAAGAATAAGGTAGCAATATGAATGAGGGGGAAAAGAGTGTAAGGAATCATTCTATATCAATATTTTTTATCATCTCTTGAACAATCCGATAGAGATTCTGAACCATCGGAATCTCACGGTTTTAATCCCAAATTTAGAACTGTAGATAACAGTGTTCCTCAATTTTTTTGTTAGTACTACATGTGTTTTTGTTTTTGTACATATGTTTTTGTGTTTTTGTTAATATTATCTTTATATCTTTCTTTATGTTAGTGATCTCTATTATAGGTCTAACAGATAATTGGTAGTCTAGTATTTCCTGATTTATTTTTTCCGAGAAACCAAAAATTCGCAATTCAAATGCCTTCGATAGCAGTTTTAGCATCGCCTGGAATATATTGAGCAAATGAAAATGCCAGATTGAATTTTACAACTCATATATTAATTATTTACATGAAATCGAGGTTCACTTCTGTGTCTGGGATTGAAATCTGTTTTGAAATTGAATTTTAAATAAATTTGAAATTAAAATTTAAATAAGACGCAGACGATTTCACAAAAAATCGAAGAAAGTGACCACTTATCCATATCTTACTTGCAGGGCTCGGCTGGAATCAGCGCAGCATGATTGTGATTTTTCACCCCTACAGATTAATTCACTTGGGGTGGACGAGAATGCGGAATCTCGTTCTCGATCACCGCAACATGTAGAAATGTATACATTTCGTGATGCTATCGATGTTAATTATCAGCGAATGGCAGTAACCGGAGAGGAGCTTTCTGGGGTCTCTCAAGTTCTTTAGTATTTATTTGCTTGCTAGGAGTGAGGGCAGTTTCAAGAGAATGAAATATACAACGCAAAAGTTTTATAGTGTAAGATATACATATGTACCTGTAACGATAATTTTCTTCATGTGATCTAAATTCATACTTCCTCATTAATTATATATGAGTATATGATCGTTCTATATTAATATTGTTTTTTCTCTAGACACTTTCGTTCTCTATAGATACCAAATATAGTATGAAATGACACATAATTCCTCGCATTCTACTATTCAAAGTAAAAAAAATCGAATATTACTCATAAAAAGAAATAATAGACTTCTGTAGTATCTAGTTGCTGTTCAGAGGATTTTTATTTTGAATATTTTTGAAATTAATATTTGAGGAAGAGAGGATTTCAAATGAAAATTAAGCATAAAGCCGAAGTTTATGATAATATGTTATCATTTTAAAGATACCTTCATTCATTTGGTTTTAAATTGTATACAAAAGATCTGAATTTCATGTGATTTCATTTTTAGGTTCCACTGGAAGATTTGCAGGAGTCAGCTCGAGAACTGACTGAAGCATTAATGCTGCGCAAAGAATATATGGAACGTATTGGAAATCACTTTCCTTTAACTACTAAAAATTTTCTTTCCGGTCACTACCCAAAGAATTTGCCAAAATGTCGACGAAAAAACATCGAAATAAGTTCGCTTTGCAGTACTGTTCTATATATTTTTTTAAACTTGAGACGCTTGTGGATATAACTTTCCATTGTGTGGAAAGTAATGTGGAGACCGTTTAATTTTGTAAGATTACCTAAATCAGAGAGAATTACTCTCTAAATGTTTCCTAGCATCAGGTCGTTTAGCTTTATTCTGAAGGGCATATGTTATTAACTTGTTGTTCTGCAAGTCAGATGCTTAGCATTTCTTACTGCAGTATATAGTAATGGCATTCAGGGATAGGGAAAAATGATGCAGTCAGTAAGCCAATCACTTTCTCTGTAAAAGATTCTGACCTATCAATTACCTAACCCCTTATTTTTTGAAAAAATAATCATTCTATTTATTTCAATGCCTCACAGTTTATATCATATTCAATTGCAAAATTCAGCTGGAATTTTATGTAGGTTTTTTTTTCAATTCATTTAAATCTTAATTGTCTTTTCCGTTTTCTTTCTCTACCTATTTATTTCAATATGCTTCTAGTCTTCTCTTTTTTTATGTTTTTTTTCTTTTTTCTAACACAGACATTCTTCGGGTTATTAGCTGAATTGAATTTCCCAATTAGTGATTATATATTGTTGCAATCCTTATGTCATTGATTATAATTAGTGGCTTGCTGCTATTGATGTAATCAGTATCACTAAATTTTAAAGGAACTCCAAAATCTTGAAGCTTACGCAGTATAAAAGAAAAACCATAACTTTTCATCGTATCGCGCTTGAAAATCAATCTTTATTTGTTTCTGTTTTTAAATTTCTGCAAGTTTAAGAGTCTTCACATGATGTCACAAAGAGTGCAGTGCCAGCAGCATCGGATAAGGAGTCACATTCGGAAGGTAATCAATGTGATTTAGATTAGCCGATAGAAAAATAGATCTTAGCTAATTATCAATTATTTGTAGGAAGTAACAGCATGAATGGGTTTTTTTTGTTCTGGCTAACATGTAAATTGTAACCTTTTAGAACGGGTCGAATGACATTCAGAAAGTTTTTCTTGAAATTTTCAAATCGAATTTTTCGATCATCTATAACGTACTGATAATTTCATCATATTATGTTGTGCAGAACAAAACATCAGGTATTATCTGTTACTTTTTCTTGCATTACAAAAGCAGTATGGAATAGAGATACAGATTACCGTGTATTTAAATGTTAAAAAATGGAACTTTCTAACGGATATAGAAGGATGCGAACAAACTTTGGCAAAAGCGTACATTTTTGTGTTACATTTTAGCATGTAGTTGTGGAAGAAGAGTGTTTAGAAAAATGTTTTTGAACTAACTCTGTGTTTCGTTCATATTTAGCTTAGTTCGTTACTGTTATATTTCAGTGATTCTTTTTGATGGCCTCCTTTCTAATTTTCTTTTTTGTTTGATTCACTATATCAAAATTTGAAAATGCATTAAGTTCTTTATCTTATTCAATTTTTAGATCTTCGAATATTTTTAAAATTATACTTGCTAGAACTGCCTATTCATTCAGTGCAGTGTATTTTCGAAAGTAGTATGTCTTACATGACGCCTTACTTTTATTCCTCAAAAAAACTGACTTATACCAGCTCTTGGGATATAGTAATGGTGAATCTTGATCTTAATACTAGGATGGTATTATCTAAATATGCTTTGGGTCCCCAAAAATGTTCTCACCATAATATTGACTTGTTGTTGGTCGTTAAGTATCTTGAAAAAATTAGTTGATAAATTGGAAAATATTCGTAAAATGATATAGTGATGTATAGAAATGTAGTGATTTCATCGTATACATTGTTGGCCAGTGCTGTTTTATTTCATTTCATATTAACAGTTTGTGTAATTTTACTTGAAATGCGTTTCTGTTAGATGTATCATTCTTAAACCGATAGTTTCTTTAAGTTTCTCAGATGTCCAAATGAGTCAAAATTCGTTTAGTTGAACTGTGTTCTAGCAATAATCACGAAGTTTTAACAGTCGTTCATTGTAGACGACTTCTAAATTAATCGTTTTCCAATTATTCAGTTTTAACAGATTATCTTCTGGGATATTATTTAAGTATTTAATATGTTTATAGTTCATTTGGGCGTCTAAATTTAGATGAATCCCTATCTCCTGCTTGCATGCATTTAATTTTATTTCAATTAATATAATTTAAAGAAAAGTTCTGATTTACTTAGTGAATCTTGATTTTCAGCTGTGCAGACGTCGTATAATCCACCTCTCCCACCAGAAGATCACTGGGGCTTGAACATACCATTACCAAAATATGAAAAAGTGTATGTATTGAAACGAAATCGTGGTATGGTGAGTTGTTTTTTTCCTTACTAAAAATTCGTTTCACAATGAGATAGCGGATATGTTAAATTGAGTGGCTGAAGCAGTCACGCTTTGAACCTATTTCGGAGACCATTACTGATCGCATGCGATATGACAATTTTCTATTAGTACGAAGACCATTCTGACATTTAAAAGCAAGACTTGATGAGTAAGCATATTATTTGTGAATTTGATCCTTATTTTTTGCATCTCTGCTCTCATTTTTCAGCTTTTTTGCTTGATTGAACAAGAAATTTTATCTCATGTTCAGAAGCTTAGCCACGTTTAGGCATGTAGTCATTACTGATATATAAATTACTATGGCGTCACTAATGGGTTAAATATTTTTTTATTGCTTAATTTTTTTTGCACGAAGTATTACAGTCTTTAATATTTCGATAACTTCTAGATTTAATTAGTTTCTGATATTTTTATATCATATTTGTTTTTTACTTTTCCTAAAAATGAACCTGGTTTAATGATGAAAGTTATTCTTTTGCATTTCACCGTTAAACTTCCCAAACTTAGTGATGATGTATGGGTAATAAGAAGTAACTTTCTTGTAACATGCGTTGCCCTCGGGAAATAATTCGCTTGTTTAGACATAATTAATAGATCCATTCCTGAATTAAATGGTTAAGGTTTTATTTTTGTTCTTTTAAATGGAAAGCAATTTAGTCTTGTTGTTTGATTAATTATAACATATGTGAAAAATTGAAGAAAGGAAAAGAAATTTCAGATGGAAATTCTTGATGAAGATGGGGAAATACCAGATCAATTTCGACGTGCCTACGTTTCAAAAGAGAAATTTTTGCGAGATTTGGAAAAACTTTCTATAATGATTGCAAATGGACCGTTGTAAGTGAAAATTCCGTTTTGTTTAGAAATTTCGAATTTCTTCTCATATTCTTCTGTGACTTTTTAATTTTGTCATATTTCTTTCATCTAGAAAAAAGTTTTTCTTGTTTTTGTATCTTCGTTTGATCGACTTATAATGGTACTAGGAATTCTTTATTGCATGCAGCTTAACATATCAAGGAATGCAATATCGGTTAACTTTTCTTTCATAGACTAATCCATTTGAAAGATGCAACTTTTGAAATAAAACCAGAATCCCCAATTGAAAGCCTGATGGAAATGAAAGGGAATGACCGTTATTGTTACCTTTTTTTGTAACTGTGCAATTAGGTGGCATTCAGTTATACTTCTAATGACTTTTAAGTGGTAAGTAATAAACAGCTATGGTGATCGTGCAGAAAGTAATTGTTTCAGGAAAAGTTTTTGTTTCCGACGGCTATGCTATTTACATAACAAATTCCAGTTGCATACTTTGATGAATGAGATTCGAGAGCAGCACGAACAAAAGTCTGTGCCACATCGCGATTTTTATAATATCAGAAAAGCAAGTTTTTGAACTCTCTTATCCAGATATGCGGACTTATAATATATATTTTTGTTAAGCAATATTAATAAACCTCATTAACTAAAATTGCAGGTCGATACTCACATACATGCTGCAAGTTCGATGAACCAAAAACATCTGCTGCGTTTTATTAAAAAGAAAATGAAAACAGAAAAGGATACTGTGGTTCTGGAAAGGGTTCATTTACTTTTCCTTCTAGTTCTTATAAACTAATAATGATATGCACTTTTCTAAAATGAGTTCTTGGGCATAAAATTTTGAAATTGAGATTACCTCGAGGGCTGTTAAGTTTGAACTTAGGCTAGTAATCATAATTTAAAATTTTCGCTTTTTTTCAGAATGGTATGAAAATCACTTTGGAGCAAGTTTTTGAAGGTGTGTTTTCGAAAATTTCTCGCCCATGTTCAAATTCGATTTGATTGCTTACCTTTTTGCTTAACATAAATTTGATCGATTTTTGGTTCTTTAATCGCTTACGTATTATTTAATAAATATAAATTTTTTTCTCATCACTATGCAAAATCAAAATTAAAGTAGTATTCCGATGTTATTTTTTCCTTTTTTCAGCTCTTTTTTAGAAGTAATTTATATCTGCACTTGTTTATCTCATCTTTATGCATGCTGAAATAGCTAAAAATACCAAACATTTTTACAGGATTGAAATAATTTCAGTTTTTTCCAGGTCTCGGTATCAGTGCTTACGATCTCTCAGTTGATATGTTGGATGTTCATGCTGATCGGAATACTTTCCATCGTTTTGATAAATTTAATACCAAATATAATCCAGTTGGTGAGAGTATTTTGCGTGAAATTTTCATCAAAACCGATAACTACGTTGGAGGAAAATATTTTGCTGATGTTTTGAAAGTAAATCCTTTTTCTATATGAAACACTGTTCGAGCCATCACGTTTTTATGTCATGCACTTCTTTATTATCATTTTTAATGTTATTCATTGAATTCATTGAATTATGTAGTTTCTGAAGTAATTTTTGGTCTCAAATCCTTTAATATATAGAAGCATGAGTTGAATATGTCATTTCAGGAGGTTTTGTCTGACTTGGAAGATAGTAAGTACCAACACGCTGAACCACGTCTGTCGATCTATGGGCACAATAAAGAGGAATGGGATAAGTTGGCCAAGTGGGCTGTCGAAAATGATGTTTATTCAGTTAATGCACGATGGTTGATTCAGATACCTCGTTTATAGTTCGGTTTTACCAATTCTTATCGTCTTTAGTTTCAAAAAGGCCATAAAAAGGATGTTTCATTAATTTTAAGATATAACCCAATATATTTAGTTGCTCTCTTCATGATAAATTGTAAATGCATTATCAAAAGATAAGTTATAGAAGATCTTCACCGTAATCTCTTATACGTCTTTTAATTTTGCAAAATTTCAACTGAGTTTTTAATATTCATGGTTTAGCGATGTTTATCGTTTGAAGAAAATGGTGAAAAACTTCGATGAAATGCTGGATAATATCTTCACACCACTTTTCGAAGTGACAAATAATCCAGAATCTCATCCACATCTTTTCCGATTTCTGCAGCAAGTTTCTGGCATCGATTCCGTCGATGATGAAAGCAAACTTGAGCATATAAAAGTGAGTGTGATATGTTAGAAAAAGTGCTTCACTTCCTTTGATAGACATATACAGACTTATATTGTCACTTTTCACTGCTAACTTATTTTATATTAGAATAACATTTCCAATATTCATGGCTATTTTTTCAAGAAGATGTCGAAATCCGAATTTTAAAAATTTCAGAGAACTGATAAAATATGTGCAATTAACACTCGACATCGTCGTTCAGTGCAACTAATTCTGTGTCATTTGTATATTGCTTATTTTGCAATTAGTCATAACAGTAATTATAGTTATATGCTTAAAAAAAGCTTTTGATTGCAATGAATTAAACTTTCTTTAATGTTAGCCTTACTAAGTAAAATGAAATGAGAGTGATATGCATAAGGAATACAAAAATCAGTGATTTAAAAATTGAATTAACATATTTCAAAATGAAGTTAATTGAAATAGTTTTCTGTATTGCAGTTTGATCATTCAACGCCTGAACCGAAGGATTACTGCGATGCCGAAAACCCATCATATGACTATTATTTATTTTATATGTTTGCAAATTTAGTGACACTCAATGCACTGAGGCGGTAAATCAGTATTCAGTTTTCGTTCTTATTGAAAATTAACTGAAACGATAGTATGCGTTCGGATCGAAGTTTTTTATGGGGTTTCCGAGGCGCAGTCTTTCTTGTTCTTTCCTTTCTTTCTCTCACTCTGTTTGGAATATTGAACGATAGTGCCATCTTATGTCTAATCTAGCTTAGGTTCAAGATGCTAGATAATCCAAGCTTTAACCAAAGAGACATTTCAGTGAACGTGGCCTGAATACCTTTTCATTACGGCCGCACTGTGGTGAAGCTGGACATGTAAGTCATCTCGTCACGGGTTATTTGACATCCGAAAGCATCGCGCATGGCCTATTGCTTCGCAAAGTTGGCTATTAATTCAGTTATTTTAAAATTTTGGAATTTAAAATTGGTGTTTATCTATTGCTCTTTTTTTCTATATTTTCAGGTGCCTGTTTTACAGTACTTATTTTACCTATCTCAAATTGGGATTGCAATGTCACCACTTAGTAACAATTCGTTGTTCATCAGTTATCATCGGAATCCTTTACCAGATTTTCATATGAAAGGATTGAACGTATCTCTGTCAACCGATGATCCCTTGCAGTTTCATTTCACCAAGGCAAATTTATTTCAAATTCATCGTAACTTTGTCTTGATTCTTTTTGAAATATCGAATTTTCTAGAACACAAATTGAGTAAAGCTTAATTATAGCTTTATAGATTAGCTCTAAATGATGTCTAAGTCAGGAGAAAATTGTTATTATTGGTTTAGGAAGCGCTAATGGAGGAATATAGCATTGCTGCACAAGTTTGGAAGCTCAGCGGCTGTGATATGTGTGAATTAGCTCGAAATAGCGTATTGCAGAGCGGTTTTGAGGATAAGGCAAGTTTGTTACCCCGAACACTTCTATGTCTTTACATTGAATTTTGTGAATTGTGACAGTTTATGGTTGGTATTAAATTTTTGTTTATTTTTTTAAAATAAATTTCAGGTAAAAGTACACTGGCTAGGACCAAACTACAAAGAGGAAGGAGTAGTGGGAAACGACGTCTCACGCACCAACGTTCCTGACATTCGTGTGTCATTTCGTCATGAAACATTGGTAGATGAATTGTGCAGTTTATTTCGAACGCGTAATATTCAGCATATAGGGAGTGAGTATAATGATGATGACGATGATGGTCTGAAAATTTAATGTTATATCTGTGGATTCTAAATGAGGTTCTAATTAAGTTTGAGTCATTTGTTGATGTTAGAATATATCTTGAAAAATGATGAACCAAATTATAGCACATATAATAAAACAAGTTAGGGGAAGCTATCTACAGATAGTGCTCTGTTCGGAAAGAAAAGAATTGAAAATGGAGAAGTAAAATTTTTCAGCTATTAAATTCCGACAAAAGAAAAAACCTTATTGATCTTTCTGTTTTACTTAAATCTTTTTTTGTAATAATCATGAGAAAATTACTTTTGGGCTGACCAATTATTATCATGCAGTTATATTTTGTAATATTCTTAATTTTGATTTTTTTTCTGAAAATATTGGGGAATTTATATGTTATATTCATTGCTTCGGGTATGTATTTCGAGGAATCAAAATGAATTTATATGCGAAAGGTCATAATTACAGTCAAATTTATTTCATATTCAGCGCCAATTCTAGAATCAAAAATTCTGATGCCTCATAGAATTTAAACAGATAAATATATTTATTGATACATCAAAAGGCTCGCAGCAACTGGTATGGTTATGGAAAAATAATCGACAGGAATCTCTCTACAACGAATAATTTGCAAAGTTGAGCTTAGATTTCACTTTAATTTACGTTAGGATTCGTTGGGAACTGAAAAATAGACAGCTCTAAACGTCAATAATAAAAATACTGGATAATTGAACAAAATATAAACAAATTAATTAAATAAGTGAAGCAGTATGGAACGAGAAAGAGAGAGAGAGTTTGCACAAGGAGAAATTTTACGGGTTCATTAGATTTTGAAGTCGGTCAGGAGGTAGAAATGCATGCCACCCAAGCAAGAAAGATTTTTTGCCAATTTTGTTCGATAAATTGAAAAATAAGTGCAATTTTAGACCGAATCGTTTTCCTATATCTGAATCACTGCCACCATGACAATTACATAAAAAGTTGCTCTGATTTCTCTAACTCAGACAAATTGATGTCAGAGCTTCTGCAATAACTGAAAGCACTAATTTAAAAATTTTAGAAGAGAATAATTTTTGACTGATCACAGAAGCGATCTGTGAAGTTTTTCGGTCAGCTTTTGTTGCTAATGTAACTGTTGTCGATTTTATGAATTTGCATGATAGTTTTAATCCCCATTTCGATATTTCGAAATGAGACATAACATGCGTTTTCGATGAAATGGTATAATTAAACGGAAACAAATAAATGTTGTCACATGAGAAACGACGTTTACGTAAATATGGAGAAAAGAAGTTCAGAAGACAATAAGTGAAGAACAGTTGGAGAGCTTTACATCCAGAAATTTTTGCAGCAGCTCCGAAGAGAAAAAAACACAAACAAAAATGAGCATTATAATAGATCCAATCAAAAAAGAAAAATGTTGAATTCAATTAGCACCGATTTTTGAAAAGCATAAGAGAAAATATTAAACAATATTTCATAATCAAAGAAATTAACAATTAAGTGAATAAAAATAAGTTTTCCTTTCTCCTGATTCCAATAAATTTTAAAAGAGAGCAAGGATTTAAAGGCGCGCAGTTAGAATCAAAAAATCATACAACAAAAATCATTTTGACAAAAAGTTATGACCACGAGCAAATTTTTTCGGCTATTATGCACAAAATCAGTTTTCCATCTTTTCCTAAGCTATACCATTGACTCTTTCTTTTAATTTGCAAAAAAAAAATTTTTAGATTGACGCAAGAAATCTTTATATATTGAAAACTTGAATCAGCAACACGATATCCTCAGATATTCGCTATTCTATTTTCAATGAGAGTATATAAACCGCCGTAAAGAATCTACAATTACATTTATTCATCACAAATACGAATCTAGTCATCACCAATGAAAAATAACGATAATCTGAAAAACAGACAGACGGCGCCTAAACTAACACTACTTCAAAATTAACATTATTGCATGTTTACGATTTAGCAGACCAGCAATTAACACTTCAATTAATCAACGAGAGATCTTCACAACGACCGCCTAAAATTAGACAAATTATACATGCACACATGTAAGTTATACATGTTCCATTGATAACTTCAGCTGAATCTCACATCTTAATATATTCAGATATAAGTTTTAGAACACAAAAAGTAAAGAGAAGTGTTGAATTAGCACAGAGACATAAGGCACTTAATCGGTGTAAACAAAGAATCTGTTAATTACTTTGAAATGAACGCTTTTTATCCTTAAAATCATTTATTTCAATTTAGTAAAAAAGTTCCATCTTTAAAGTCCTGCTTTCTTGTTTTTAATAAGCTTTTTACTTTCCCGGAGTCTGCAATAGATCACTTACCTATTGTCTCATACCGTTCAGTTCCACAATACTTTCAAACATATTTTGAATTCTAAAATAATTTCCAACCCTATGAAAAAATTGAATCTAAAATGAAGAAACGTACGCAGTGAGATGATCAACAGCTGCATGCAGTTCAGACTCAGTCGCCTGAGGATATGCAACAGCAGTTAGCAATTCAACAAGAAATTCGTCACATATACCAGGACAATTCTTTTCCGCTTCTTTAAAAGCCGCAGCTACAGCATCCAAATCAGTACCCGAGTGACGAGTATGTGCTAGTCGATCCAAAGCCGGTAGTAATGTGTGCTCCAAGACACCCTTCAAAAAGGTTCAAAATTTTCCATTGTGACTACAAGCAGCAATATTTTAACCTAAATGAAATAACTAAGTTATTTAAATAACCAAAAATGCAAATTCATTTGTAAACTCCCAATTTTCATTTTATTTAGTAGATGTTTTTGCAACATACAATTTGTCTTTATTTTAAGGGTATTTTTTACTAATTATACTAGTACCTAATAAGTAAGCTATAGATCTCACAAGAAACTGTTCACACATAAAATAAACCTTTCTCCTTGGTCGCTCATAGATTGGTTCATTTGTTTGAGCTGAGAGATGATTAGTTTGGTGAAATGAGGATGTTCGATAGGCATGAATGTTTGTTGATGCATTGCCGGTAGTAATTTGTGAGGATATACCAGGATAGCGCTGTGCAGTTCCTTGTATATTCGAAGGAGTATCGCTGATTGAAAACGAATGGCGAATTAGTGATGAGGTCTAAAATTCCTACATTATTTTAAAATGCATCTAGGATAAACCATTAGCGCAATAAAATTTATAAACTTTTAGCCATAGTTCACTAAACTACAATGTTATCACTCCTAAGCCTCGTGATTTTATATTCAGCGCAATCAATATTGTGAATATCGCCAACTCTTAAACGCCACATGATTGATTTTAACATATTTATCATTGTGAATCTATTCGAATTTTCTTTCCTACTATTACTCCTTTTTTCTGAAGCTTTTATTAGGCAAAATTTCTCCAGTTGAAAAGTTTTGGTAAAACTGAACTTCAACCAGTTGAAAAGTTTGGGGGGCTAGAATAAAAACTGAGCTTTAAAATTGAAAAGTTTAGAGAGCTAGAATAAGAAGTCTGATAATGAAATTTGCAGAGTAAACACGATTTACAGGTTAAAGAATAGTTTACCATCTAAGAATTTCAACTAGTTGAAAAGTTTGGAGAACTAAAATAAAACCAACAGGTGAACTTGCTGGCGATGAAACAGCAATCGTTGTGGCGTTCCCATTATGCGCCACTTTGACATCATTTGCGAAGGGACCCGTGTTAGCATAAATAGGCGATGAGTGGTTGATGTAAGTAGAGGAACTTGTAGGACGTAACGATGTTTGACGAAGTTCGTGGGCTATTTGAGCCACATTCTGTAGAAAGTCGTTATTATATGAAATTATAAAATTAGAGCAAACTTTGGTGCAACAGATAATAAAAATATCACTTAAGAAATGGAGAAAATTAAAGAAAATAGTTTCCTGTGTGCACAGTTAAGATTACGAGGCAAAAATTAAATAACGGCTCTAGTATTCCTTACGCAACAGCATATTACTCGCAATAAAAATCAAAAATAAAATTCAGAAACACATAAAATTAAAAAACTCATCTTTCCTGAAGTTAAAACAGAAAATTTTAAATCCAGTATAAAATAACTTACGGAATCATTATTTCTGATTGTAGATTTCGGACTTATTTCCTGACCTCTCGATAAGTAAGATGATGATATGGATGGTCTTGTGATGTCATTCTTTATTCTTACGGTATTCTGGTCGTCTGTAACATCACTCGTACACTGTGATGTTTTTATCGTATTAAACACCCAATCAGTCCTGAATAATATGTTACGCTTAAAAAGCTGAAATGTGATTAGATTTCAGATTTCAATATTTCGGAAAAAATTCTCCTAGGTATTATGATTTTAATAATTAGAACGATAGTATTTTTCTCTAGAAAAATCTGTTCGTCAAAGCATTCGCTGTTCAAAAGAAACAGCAATAGCATAAATAATACACAGGAATAGAAAACAAATCTGCTTAAGGATAACTGATATATTCGAAAGAACCTTTCCCAGTAGAGACATAAAAAAAGAACAAAGCACAAAAAATCTATTCTAAACCATTTACCCGCCACTATTATCAGCTTCTTCATCTTGATCTGAATCACTACTTGGTCCAAGTCTCGCTTTGTAATCCGCACTTCGTTCAATCAGGTCCATCAGAATTGAATTTTTCTTCGCTCTTCTGATGAAGGGATGTTTCAGTAACTCTTTTGCAGAAGGTCTCTGAAACAAATTTTGAAAATGAATAAATAAATCTAAAATTATGATTGGCATGCTGAACTGCTATGATAAATAGATGCACATCTCTCTTTACTATGTTAAACATCCACATCGTACGACGTTAATAGATGGGGGACTGTGCAAATAATCTTATTAGCTATCACTCTTTTGCATATACAGGATTCACTAATACAATCTCTACTATATACCACATAAACAACAGTAACCAACATTTTCTGGATCTTTATTCAAGCACAGTTCGACAAAATCCTTGAACAGACGAGACCAGTGAGATCCATTCAATTGTGGTGAAGGATTTTTGGGTATCAAAAA